GCAATATCACCCCAGTCCGAGATCTTTAAGCTTATGCAGTGGATGTCATGACAATATCTTGAGAGTGAAGTACTGCTTATGCATTTCTACTGACATCGCTCATTCCACAGGTCCTAGCTAAGATCAAGAAATCACATCATGATGTTTCTGGTGGAACAAGCATGGCTGACATGATCATTGTTCCAAGACCTACTATTTCTACTTGCAGACTAACCATTATGTTTCCTCACTGGCCAATGCTTCTCAGACAACCAAAGTCAGGGTTCCATCGCAAGTGATCAGCTCCACCTACCTGACACTTGGAGTCAGCAAGGATTTCAGAATGCATTTCTTCAGCTGTTATGCAGTCAGTCAGAGCTTCAACATCGGCTTTATGTAAATACAACTGGGACCTGTTTCAGCTGTAGGGAATCAGATCAGAAACAATGTCTCTATAACGGTGCTGATGGTTGCTTAATTTTGCTACATCTCAGAAAAGATCAACATCTTCTGCATGGAAACAGAGATGTTATCGCTCGGCATTAGCATCCCTTCTTACTGAACAAGGAATACATATTGGGAAAGATCCAGTTCTTACCAGTATGTTACAATCATTTGAACTAAAGGATACCCCAAGGCTTATTTTGTCCCAATTCAAGATATGCTTTCGCAACACAGAGGCCAACATATACTGAGACGGGATACCATGAGAGTTAAAATTAAACTCAGATCTGAGGTTGATAGTTGTGATCCAAGAAGGCTCTCTTGCCGCATGTAGTTGTGTCTACAAATGGTAGACTACCACTAAAATTGGCAGCAGGTTATATCCAATCAGGGATATAACTTGGTCTTCATTTGAGTTAACCGGAAGTAACGTCATCATGACATCATCAAAGTACACTTAACCAGAAGTGACATCATCAGGTTGTATTTGTGATGTAGGGGCGACGGGGTAGCCTAGTGGTTAAAGTGTTTGCTCGTCACGCTGAAGACCAGTGTTCGATTCCCAACATGGGTACAATGTGTGAAACCCTTTTCAGGTGTCCCCTGCCGTGATATTGCTGGAATATTGCTAAAAAGCGGCGTAAAACCAAACTCACTCACTCACTCTTTGTGATGTCATCAGAGGTACCTTTAACCGGAAATTACGTCGTAGTCCAATAATGATAATAGTTCTTTGAGTACTGCCTCCAATAATTGATTGCTTGTTTTCCTGAAACTTGTTTCTGATCCACAGATTTAACATGAATACAATCTTTAAAACCCATTGTTATCTTCTTCATAGTTGCCTTCTCAAATGCTTCAAGTTGGAGTTTCCTTTAGTAAGGAACTCTGGGATTCCGGGCCTCTATCTCAAGTGTTAGAGGTAGTATTCTATCAGTTATTATCATTGTTGGACTACAACATAATTTCCGGGTAAGGGTACCTCTGAAAACATTTAAATAATGCTTGAAAATTACATAATGTGATATAAGATAAGTATTATAAATATTCAATTGATAATAACATATTTTCAATATCATTAAAAAATATCGCAGACCATTTATTCTTTTTTAATATGTGGGACTCTTTATTTTATTGCAGCTCTACTTATTTACCTCTTAACCTGCTCATATACCTAAGGCCATAACGCTTCCCAGCTGGCTGCTTATTAGCCAGTGACCACATCATGACTTGCTAAGGCAGAAATTTGTTTATACATCTGTATATTAAGTTTTTTTTCATAAAATGTATTTAAATTGTTGTGAAACTGTGTTTAGGATTGTTGTTCAGCTGAAGTTGAGAGTCATGGTCAGGGGTATTAGTGAGCCCTGTTCAAGGTTTTTTGCTTATTCTCTGTTTTAATTATAAACCTTGGTATAGCCATGTACTTAAATGTGTTGAAGGGCAAGTGTAAATGATTATTTATTTTGTTTATGCACCATTGTTAATGTGTAACTTGGTAAACATAAAAGTGAATAATGCTAAGACAAAACGTTAATCAGAATTCAGGACGGTGCGTGAATTATCAGCCTTTGATTTGACATTTTTGATGCCAGCAGTCATGAAAGATTTGAAATGCCTATTAGAATACCCAGGTTTGCTCATTTTGAGTACCATTCAAAGAATCTGTGTGTATCAAAACAGATTTGTAGGAATATTTTTCAGAATACAGCTTGTCCGCTGTGTCAGCACTTCCATTTCTCTGAAAATTAGTGCTGCAACGGTATACTGCGGTATTTACTCTCGGATCGATTTATGCTTCAGATTGTGCTGATTTCGGTTCAGTCGGTAAGCAGCATAACATTAGCTAAATAATGCAACAAGGCTTATAATTGGTTCAGTTCAAGCCAATTGCTTTGACTGATAAGCAAGACAGTTTAGTGTTTGTGAAAAAAAACCCGACCCGTCTGATTGGCTCAGTTCAGCCAATCACTATCACTGACACTGATGATGGTGGATATTTTCTATTGTCTTATATTCCAAGACATTGAAATGTACTTGATGACTTATTCTATTTTATTTTATGTCAAGGATAAGATTATCTTTATATATTTATCCAGTTGTATCGCCCAAATCATTCAGTTGCGGACTACTTTTGTGTTGTATGTTTTTCAGTCAGCAAGCCTTCCACAAGCACCGTATATTTTTGGAGTCGAGCAGATGACTTAGATTGCGAATGCCAGAAATAGACACGAAATGATAAAATCACATTATGTTATTTTTGCAAACATGCTTTGCATTTTGTTTGATCTGCTTTTATGTATTTCCAATGATCTGTGATGAAGAATCAATCATGTCACATATGGTAAATTCTTTCATAATCTAGTGCAAGTCAATCAGTGAACTACTTTCCATTTTAGTACTAATCACTGCGTCAATTCTTTGTTTGGTTGATAACATTGGAAGAGTCAACATTGATATTTGGCTTTATTTGTGGCATGGCAGAAGAGGTTGTCCATAATGCTGAACCTCTTTATGCATTTGGATAATTGAACTCATTATCAAACATAAGTTTGCACTTTAACATTCAATTTTACATTCTGCTTCAGGAGGCAGTTTATTGCTTCTGTAATTTACCTGCTAATTTTAAACTGTGATTTTTTTGTAAATTACATTTTTATACTATAATGAACATATTTCTCAAGATGTTCTCCTTTCTTTCCATCAACTTGTCCTAAACGGAAGACATTTCCACTTTCAAAAATCTCATTTCCATCACCATTGCTCATTCAGTCACCTTTGTACATGCATTTAATAATGAAATTCACATTAATTGGAAACATCCTGATGACACCTATCACTGTTATAGCCACTTGATATCAAGATTTAGCTTTGTATTTGCTTATTACCTTCCATATATTTCAGTCACCTTCCATTATTATCAAGAAGAAATTTTCTTGTGCTGTAACTATAATCTAGTGCTTGTGTTTACAGTAGTACATTTTGCCTATTATGTGTGTGTCATATTATTTCATGTGGTTGTTTTTATTTCTAAATACAAACCAATTACAATTTTAAACAACTCATGGTTAGTTTTCTTTGCTTTCACTTATTATACCCCCGCTACGAAGTTACGGGGGTATATAGCGTTCATTCCGTCCGTCCGCCCCGAAACTTTGTCCGGAGCATAACTCTTAAAGTTTACATGCTAGGTTCACCAAACTTCACACACATGTTAATCATTACCCATTGATGTGCCTTTTGCTATTTTAAAGTTTTTTCAGAATTTTGTATTTTTTGCTGTTTCCATGGAAACATGACTTGGTGCCAAATGTGTTTGATGGTTTTGTCCATGGCATATCTCTTAAAGTTTACATGCTAGGTTCACCAAATTTCACACACATGTTAATCATTACCCATTGATGTGCCTTTTGCTATTTTAAAGTTTTTTCAGAATTTTGTTTTTTTGCTGTTTTCATGGAAACACGACTTAGTGCCAAATGTGTTTGGTGGTTTTGTCTGGAGCATATCTCTTAAAGTTTACATGCTAGGTTCACCAAACTTCACATACATGTTAATCATTACCCACTGATGTGCCTTTTGCTATTTTAATTTTTTTTTCAGAATTTGTTTTGTTGTTGTTTCCATGGAAACATGACTTGGTGCAAAATGTGTTTGATGGTTACCTGGCCACAGCATATCATCGAAACTATACATGCTAGGTTCACCAAACTTAATACACAAGTTAATCATGACCCACAGATATTCCATGTGCTAAAAAATAACAATCTTCATCTACGTCCACTTCATTGAGTGCAACAAGTTCAGTTGTATGTCAGGTTTCCACGGAAAACACAAAAAAATAATGTTTCCATAAATTATTACTGTAATCAGTACATGGCAAAACTATTATCTAACATGTATATAAAGTTTAGTAGAGTCAAGGAGAAAGTCTTGTGAGCTGCTGATCCTTGTCACATTATATATATCAATATCAGTCATTTCCATGTCCCAAAGTGGGAAGCTGTGCTCACTTGTTTTACTTGTGAGATTGTGGGCTGGAAACATTAGATGTATTGCACCAGTGTGTACTTGTAATTTGTACAGTTGAAATGTTAAAAATCAGTCAGTAAATACAGAATATTTTATGAATTCATATTTTTGTTCATTTTACAGATACCTATCTGTAGTTCTAAGTAAATCTTATCCAACTTTTGTTGGATGACTTGCTCATGTCAAAGACCTTTGTCATTTGATGTTTCATTTCTGTTTTCAGATGTAGAGAAATGAACAGGAAAAAAGCAGCAGCATGTTATCACTGAGTGAAAGAAAATGTGTTTAGTTTGTGTGAACTTAAATTGGCTTTAATACCTCCATGGTGGCCATGCAACTGCCAGAAGCTGAACCTCGGCATATGTCGTTTTTCTCTTGAAAACATCATGTTCTGTTCAGATGTATAACATTCAGTGTTTCAGGCCTGGCTTTATTTGTGCAGACACTATTTGAAACTGTTGATTACTTGTCAATGTAAGTTATAACACAATGGCACTGTTTTGTCTAGGTTAATGCATATTGACATATATTTCATGAATTTCCAGGTATGTCCGTTACTGCATGAAATATGTGAATAACATGCTGAAGAAGAAAATCCGACCCATTCTGGTATTTGATGGGTGTCGTTTACCTTCTAAGAAAGATGTTGAGAACACTAGAAGAGAGTAAGTCATAAATTGTTTTACCATGCTATTGTGTATCATGAATGCACAATGCCATTTAGAAAGTGGTCAGATGTAACACATGTTGTATTTTGGATTACACTTTCTCAGTAAAGTACAGATTCTAGTACTTTTGTTGGGTTGAGTCTCACCCAAGATTCTAACCCACACCCTCAGAGACATGCACCTAATCACCAGCACACAAAGTGAAAGCCTCGGTGGCTGAGTTGGTCGGGTGGCTAACTTAGAGTGCTTGCGATTAAGTGATCCTTTGATAGAAATGTCTATTTAAAAATCTCAAGAACTCAGGGATTTGTGTCTGTATTGACACAATAGATATACTCTGCAAAAATGAAACACAAATTGTTTAAAGTTGGCACAAGTCATTGTCACTGTCACTGATTGAGGTTCATCATGACATACAAGAAAGAATCGAATGTCAAGACGAAGGTCATCTGTTCGCAGTACCTTTTTGAACTGCCTGGCATCGTTGCCCCATGGAAAAACCCGGCTATGGCAGAAGCCAAGTCGCTTGTCTTCAGACGTGTCATGTTTTCACTTTTCACATGTGATGACAGACACATGAAAACCCATCGTTCTCATGTGTTTGTACATTTCATGTTGGTGTGTTTGGTTCCGTTTTTGTGTTTCCCCTACTTTTTTTGGCATTCTTATTCAACCCACTCAAATCACTCCTGATGTATGCATATGAAAAATATATATTTTGTGTTCACTTTTTATGAATATCAGCAAGACTTTGAGATATTTCCAATATTTCTACTTTTACATTTTTTGTGTGCAGAGTATATATATTTTACCAGAAACATGTTCTTTTACTTGCCCAGAATTTATTTTACTCAGTTTTCAACAGGATTTTTATCCCCCGCCACTCGTTTTGCGGGCGGTATTAAAATGGACTCCATCCGTGTGTCCGTCTGTCCGCCCGTCCGTGTACATTTGTCTTTTCCGGAGCAGAACTCTAAAACCGTTCAATGTTTCTTCACCAAACTTGGCACATACATAGGTCTGGTGGTGTACTGGTGCCTTTTGGAAGTTTTGGAATTCTGAATAAAATATTTTTGGCATTTCCATGGCAACAACTTGGACTAAAACTGAAATTGGTGGTAGTGCTCTTTTCCGGAGCAGAAGTCTAAAACCGTTCAATGTTTCTTCACCAAACTTGGCACATACATAGATCTGGTGGTGTACTGGTGCCTTTTGTAAGTTTTGGAATTCTGAAAAAACATTTTTTTTGGCATTTCCATGGCAACAAGTTGGACTAAAACTGAAATTGGTGGTAGTGCTCTTTTCCGGAGCAGAACTCTAAAACTGTTCAATGTTTCTTCACCAAACTTGGCACATACATAGGTCTGGTGGTGTACTGGTGCCTTTTGGTAGTTTTGGATTTGTGAATAAAATATTTTTTGGCATTTCCATGGCAACAAGTTGGACTAAAACTGAAATTGGTGATAGTGCTCCTTTCTGGAGCAGAACTATAAAACCTTTCAATACTCCTTCCACCTTTCTATATACACACCTAAATATTTGACATGATCATAACTCGTAGACATAATCATGAAGAGTATTTTGCCATTGCGGGGGATATTGATGATTTTGTCTTCTTGTTGTGTTGAGTTTGGATTCTTTTACTCAAAGTAAAATGCAAGTAATTCTTATCCAACTTTTGTCATTTGATGTTTCATTTCTGTTTTCAGACGTAGAGAAATGAACAGGAAAAAAGCAGCAGCATTTTTGAGGGAAGGTAAACGAAGTGAAGCCAAAGAATGTCTTCAGAGGAGTGTTGATGTAACACCACAGATGGCTCTTCAGCTCATGAATGTAAGACTTTAAGAAACCGTTATATCCATGGAGCTTGTTCATCCATTCATCACAATTTGTTGGGCAGTGTTCATCCAGCTATCACATTTTGATGGGCAGTAAACTTCATCAATATCAATGGATATTCTGTCAGTGTATGACATATTAAGAAGAGTATGACCAGCATTTTGTCCAACTGGAACAAAATATAAATATTTTAAACACAATGTTTCACATTTTCGACAATATTCTGGCCTAATGCAGTCACTTTAGCTTCTTATTGATGCAATAAAGACTTATTATCCTTTACGACTTGCCTGAAATCGATAATTGAAACTTCGAGGCGAACAGTGAGTGAGTGAGTTTAGTTTTATGCAGCACTCCGCAATATTCCAGCTATTTAGCGGCGGTTTGTAAATAATCGAGTCTGGACCAGACAATCCAGTGATCAACAGCATGAGCTTTGATCTACGCAATCAAGGCGGACAGCTTCCAAACAGAGAACACTTGCCATATATGGAATGTAAACAATTACTTCGTACATCAAAAACTGTCACATGGTTTTGTCAGTTTTTGCCGAACTGGTTTCAATCACATGGTGTGCGTAGGATATTTGTAAAGGTTCATAACTCTATGGGGTTCACTTGAAATAATGTACAGCCTGTAGAGGGCACAAGAGTCAATTTAATGCAACGTTGCATTAATTCATTCGAACTTTTTAATTTAATATTGTAACCTAAATACGTAAAAACAAATTAAGTAAATTACATGGTAGCTTCCTTGAGGGCTGATAGTATGATTGAGAGAAATGCATTTTTTAAGAACTACAATTCGCTCTACCCCCATGTATAGTGTAATAAAGCACACTTTCGCCCTGAACTATTATAGTTAAAGCACGAGGAAGTGTGCTTTATTACACTATACATGGGGACAGAGCGAACTGTATTTCTTTTCTAAGATGCCAAATTTAATACTTATCAACGATAAATCTAAGGCAGAAAGTAAACAGAAGAGCGGTGTCAGTGACCAAAATGAACAATCCTTGCTCAGGGCTAATTGGCGTGCTGTTCTATTGATGTGTCTGCTCCCTACGTTAAGGTGCACGTTACCAGCAAAACCAATGATAAACACTTTGATGACTGTTTACGTTTGGGTTAAATATCTTATTTTAATTGTGTCTAACCCCGAAGGGTCGGGAGAATCTTCACAAAATTTGTTATACTGCCTCTCCATATCATGTAGATGTGCCTCTTGGGGGTTTGAACTTTTCTTTTAATTTTATTTTTATCTGTTTCAATGGCAACAAATTTGGACTTGGTCTTTTTGAAGAGTAGGGTTTGTGTTCGGAGCATAACTCTAAAACCACTTCACCCATCTTCACCAAATTTTGTATACTTGATACCACTTATTAGTAAGCTTGGAAGTATCAACCATGTACTACTATAAAACACCATGAACTAGACTATTGACTATGAACACTATTGACTGGAGACAACTCTATATTACCATAGATAAGCTGTATTTTGAGGGCCAAAAAAGCAGTCTTTAGAAGGGGGTCGGCTTATCTATGGGTTATGGTTTCGTCAAACTTTTTTCCAGGGTCAAGAAAACAACATCGTATCACTTCATGCGAACAAACAACAGAAGACGACTTTGTCAGTAAAGACATCAAATTTGCAATTAAACATCACTAGATAAGATTATTTACCTTTTAAGTTCTAAGTTGTTTTTGCTGGGCATTGTATTACTTGCAGGGATTAAGATTACACTGTGAATTTGAGCCGGAAATAGCAATCAGCTGTGCACACGTTTCCCGGCGATCAAGTTCAAACATGCACAAAAATATAACGGGATGAATTCTGACGCAGTCATCAGTAACATATAATATAGAATACTATTATTTTTCCTTATCCTGACTCATGCTCTTTTGCTTGTCTTCTTCTTCTTGCGAACATAGTGGAACACTTGTATCTCCTTAATTGAAGCTCCCTTCAATGTAAAATCACTAATTAGTACTCACCAAGAGTTGCCTCCCTTTGCCCCTGCGCGGGAAAGGCGGCGCCACCTTCTGGCTTCATGCTTCACTCTCTCCTTCTTCGCCCAGTGAGCAGGATGTGAGAGCACCTGTGTCTCCTGACACACTATATCCTTTGGTTATTCTTAGTTAGTTACCTCCTATAGGTTACTATAGAGGTGTAGCTAGTATCCTTCATTAATATGTATTGATAATTATTCGTATTTCTACTGTTTATTCACGGGAATTCGTGATTGTTCAGCTAGTTTACGATGATGAAAATCTGTACTATTTGTAGATTACGTTTTTCTGCTGCTGACCTGCATGTAATATGCCCTAGCTGTACTACGCCTTGTGCGTTTGATTCACGTTGCAGTTACTGTATTAATCTATCTAATTCTGCTTTTAATAAATATCATCTTTGCGTCTTGAGACGTGCAACAGATAGGTCACGCAAACAAGGGTTAGACATGGCCGATTCATTGGAACCCCTAGCCAGTCAGCTGCTGTCTGACGACCCCCCCCCGTCTGGTGTTCCGCTAGAGTTTCCCTCGGACGAGGGGCGTGGGATGCAGTCCGCCGCCTCCAAGAAGCGTCCTGCTTCCCAAGACATCCCGTCATTGCAGCCAAAGTCTAAGAGGGCCTCGACATCTACTCAACGCAGACTCCGTACCCCCAGGGCAGCGTCTACCTCCAAGGGAAAGTCTACGAAGTCGTCAAGAACCTTCTTAGCCGAGATTGTTCCAGCCGCTGAACTGGGCCTCTACGATGATCAGCCGATCATCATCCCCGATCTTCGCCACAAGAGACGACCGGTGTCGGCAACAGTGACGTCACCACAGATCGCCATGCAGCCTGATGTGTCTACACCGATGTCGGACGATCTTCCTGAGGGCCCCGTCGCTAACATCGCAGAGAGGGCACCGACTACATCATCGTCGCAGATCGTCCCAGACGACCTGATGCGGCAAATCATGAAGATGATGGAGGACCACTACAGACTGGAGAGACAACCAGCCCAGGACCTGAGCCTTCGCGAAGGCTCCAACGTAGACGACACCCCAGAGGGACCCCCCGTCAACGTAGCGGCCACGACGAAGCCACCTTCGCGAAGGAAGTCACAGACCACCTCGATGAAGGACCCAGATGATAGATCATCACCTACCTCGGCTTCATCCGTACATTCGGACTCGAACCACCAGACTTCACGAAAGCCTTCGAGAAGGTCAAGTCGTCGTTCCCCAGGACCGGACGCAGAGGAAGCTTCGCGAAGGCCTTCGCGAAGGGCACCATTAACAGGCTCTAAATCATCTTCGTCCAGTAGGACATCGAGGGATTCCACAAGAGCTTTGCGAAGCTATCAACATTCACCACACAGATCTCCGCGAAGGTCAACCTTTAGACGCAGCTCGTCAGGCCGTTCAACAAGACGATCCCCTCGCCATTCTCCATGCCGATCACCTCGCCGTTCACCGCGCCGATCTCCTCGTACATCACCACGTCGATCTCCTCGCAGGTCACCACACAAGTCTTCACAGAAGTCCACAGTCAGGTCTCCTTTAATGTCACCCTGTACAGTGGTAGAAGCACATAGTCCACCATCAGAAGAGCATCAACCTCTTATCAGCGATCCCGTGGTAGAAGATGATGGAGGCATCATTTTCTCAGACGCTGAGATCGTTATTGGATGGTTAACAACCTAGACCTTTCTTCACCTTCCAAGAGTGGTAACTTCGGCATACTTACCTGATGAAGGAGGGCGATGCAGGCGCCATCACCTTACCTCCGATCGACCCGATTGCTGCGGTGCCACAGAATTTGGACACAGCCTTCCATAAAGCCCGCGAAAGTTCAAAGCGCCACACTTACGCACTTTCAGCTAAGAAGTTTTCAACTCATAATATGGACCCCTTCCTCAAGGCACAAGACATCGATGATAATTACAAAATGATCAGCGATGTCAAGAATAGAACTATAAGATTGGCGATCGCAAGCTGGTTCAGATAGAAACCATGGCCAGTATGTTCTTTGGCCTTAATAGATCTAGAACGATCAATGAGACTCTTATCACCAGATTTGTGACCACGACTTCTGAAGATGATAGAATGATCTACTCGGCCCTACTTATGCAAAGAAGGACCAGCAGTTCCTAACGGATCATCTCACATCAGTCTCAGCAGCTAACCTTAGCTTCGTCGTCAAGGCCTCCTCGCTTCCTGCAGCTGGGGTGAGCAGTTTACAGCTCCACTCTTTACAGCCCGTGGTCCTCACCATCCATCTTTGACGGAGGAATAGAGAAAGTCTCCAAGGAAGTCACTAAGGATCCTAGAGAAGTCCTTATGATAAAGTCGATGGACACACTAGCCAGCGTCATCAGGCAGACTTCACAAAGATATTCAGGGAAATCTAAATTCACTGGATTACAGAGAGCACGGGATAGGAAGATGGCCAGCTCCAGGGGAAAAGATTCTTTTCGTCGCCCATATGGCAACTACAGAGGAGGATCAGGAAGAGGCAGGGCACCCAGAGGTTCCCGCAACTATAAACGATGAAAGACTTCCACCCCCAGCCGTTCCAGTACAACCGTCACAAGTGGGTGGACGCCTTCAACTGCACTGGGAGAACTGGGGAATGTTACAAGACCCTTATGTCTCCAACATTCTTCAACAAGGATATCGTATCCCACTACAGGCCACGCCTCCGCTGACAGTCAACCCTCACAAGTTCGACTTCCAGGCACAACAACTACCAAAGTTAAGAGAGGCTGTTACATCTCTCCTAACCAAGCAGGCCATAGAAGTACTAGATCAAGTAAAGGTCGAACCAGGCTTCTACTCCCCAGTTTTCCTAGTACCCAAGAAAAACTCCAAGGAGAAATACAGACTCATTTACAACATGAGCACATTCAACAGAGATTATCTACGCAAACCGCCAACGTTTCGCATGATACATCTACCTCAATTACGGCAGTTAATTCGTCCCATGGATTACATGGCCAGTATAGATC